TTTTAAAATCTTCAGTCAATCCGAGAATAGTCATTGTGATGAAACCAACCTCGCCACTGGGCATTGGAGAAGCCTGTGTGCCCGCCTCCTGCCTGCTGACTATGGCCCCTGGGAGATTTGGCCCTTTAAATACAGTATTTGGGCATATTGTATTTTATTATGCTGCTGCTGGCCCTTTAAGAACCATCTGGGGACATACTGTGACTTTTGGGAACAATGCCCCTTTAAGACTTTGTCCCCAGTGTCCCAGACTGTTAATATACTGTGTTCCTGGCTTTCTCCCACTTGGTTCAGTAAATGGGAACAAAGTACCACACAGGCGGAAGACCCAGAAGTGGAAGTGTGCAGGCAATTTACCTCCCAGGCTGGGACCCTGCTGTAGGTAAACTGCCGACCGCTGGGGGGCCGCCATTTGACAAATGAACACGTGGCGGCAGCCATCTTTAATTCAGCTGAAGTTTTACCTTCTCCAGACTTCAATGCATTTGACAGTTCGAACGCCGTTCAACAATTCATTCGACAGTTCATTTGACAGTTTGACAATTCGAATGGTTGTCATTCGTCTGTTTGAACTGACTTTAACATGGGAAATAGACCGACCGCACAGCCTGATCCTCTGGAACTGTTTTGGGCATGAAAATGTGCTTGCTTATATCTATCTCCTGAACGGATTCGAATGATTTTTGGGTATGTTTATATTTGAAATGTGCTGATTAATAATATGTGACTTTTATTAATATTGGATGTATAGTTTTGGAGTTATGAAAGTTGGGTAAAAAGTATGTTTTAAACTGTACGGCTAATTGTGTTACCTCTCAGGCTAAGGGGAGGAGATGGGTGGGATGTAACCAGTGTGTGATTGGGTAATCCATAATTGTCTGTGGGCGTCTCCCTTGCATGGGAGAATTGCATAAAAGCAGAGTGTGTGTCATTAAACCTCAGTTCTACTTCACCCTCAATTTGGAGTGCTGTCTCTTCTCGCCAGAGTGCTGCTTAGTCTCGCTGGCCTCCCCGACCTAGCAACCGAAATTTACAACTAGACAGGCTAGTCAAGACAGGACACCGGTGTCCGGCATAAACTATTTACACCAAGATTTAGCCTGACCCAAACCACCTATATTACTTAAATGACTTAAAGGTAGGCAGACAATGTAATAGAGCAGCAGGAAATGCTAGCAGAATGCTTGGTTGTATAGGGAGAGGTATTAGCAGTAGAAAGAGGGAAGTGCTCATGCCATTGTACAGAACACTGGTGAGACCTCACTTGGAGTATTGTACACAGTACTGGAGACCGTATCTTCAGAAGGATATTGATACCTTAGAGAGGGTTCAGAGAAGGGCTACTAAACTGGTTCATGGATTGCGGGATAAAACTTACCAGGAAAGGTTAAAGGATCTTAACATGTATAGCTTGGAGGAAAGACGAGACAGGGGGGATATGATAGAAACATTTAAATATATAAAGGGAATCAACACAGTAAGGAGGAGACTATATTTAAAAGAAGAAAAACTACCACAACAAGAGGACATAGTCTTAAATTAGAGGGGCAAAGGTTTAAAAATAATATCAGGATGTATTGCTTTACTGAGAGGGTAGTGGATGCATGGAATAGCCTTCCAACTGAAGTGGTAGAGGTTAACACAGTAAAGGAGTTTAAGCATGCGTGGGATAGGCAAAAGGCTATCCTAACTATAAGATAAGGCCAGGGACTAATGAAAGTATTTAGAAAATTGGGCAGACTAGATGGGCCGAATGGTTCTTATCTGCCGTCACATTCTATGTTTCTATTAGACGGGCTGACTACAGAGCGTCTAATTTCCAGATAAGCTATGTGCCTTTGCTTCTTCCCTCCAGTGTGACGGGGCAATCCAATAACGGGTTCCAAATATAAAACCCCTTGTGGGCCTACCACTCTAACGGTATCAGTCTTACCTCTTCGTTCCTGAACCTGGGCTTACACTCTTCGACGGGGCACCCCGGTACTTACTACGTAAAGGCCGATGATCTCCTGGGCGAAGCAGCCCAGTGGCGCCGAGATTAAGGGATGTCCACGCAGAAGTTCAGGGGTGCTCCGTAGTGAACGTTGGCAAAAGGTTTACCGTCTCAAATCTCTGCGCCAGCTTCCGTGCGATGAGATTCCCGGCCAATGCACCAAAGATGTAACCGAGTAAACTTGCAGAAGCCAGACACAGAGAGATGGATGCAGGTTTTCAGGAAGTAAGAGGTCTTTATTAACATACCGATCGGGCCTCAGATGAACTAACGTTCCAAAACAGGTCTGAGGGCTGAACACATGGAGTACATGCTTTTTATAGAACTATAACTCCTCCCATTAATAGCTCCACCAGCACATACCCTTAACCAATCAGTGGACAGGATTTGGATTTCCTCATATGGGCAGATCACATGGCTCATCCGAAACAAAGGAGTGTAATTTCAGTTCCTGCCTTCCTGCACATGCTCAGTACATTGATGACAGTATCTTAGCTACGTGTAACTAACTAACTGATATAACATACACATATGCCACGTGGAAATCTCGGCCTACTAAATTTACATTTCACCGAAATTCCATCACAAAACTAGAGGGAGAATGTAGGACGGCAGCATATGTTCGAACCACTATAAACACTACAGCTTATTGCAGTGATGATGGTGTAAGTTGTCATTGAGTGCAGTACCTCCGATCTTTTTTAGGACAGCTTTTGAGTAGTTTACAAAACATAAAGCTCTTTTGGCATCCTGCCTGCACACCCTGCTGTTGGTGAATTAATAAAGAAATCTTTAAGGAGATAAAAGAAATTAGCCCTCAACTTTTTCTCTTTAATATTGGTTTTCCTTCGCAAGATAAATATCAAAAATATCTCTTGACCCATATATTTTTTGCCATTAAAATATGTATAGCTAGGGCTTGGAAATCCTCTATTCCATTAATATGGCATAATATTATGGAGCAAATAGATTATCAACATAGGATGGAAATAAACCCTTTCTTTGGTACTAGAGACGTGACCAAATTATGGTTACCCTGGACAAATAGACAGAATTCATGATAACATATTGTGGTTCCCCCCATATCGAGTCTCAGAAGATGTAATTTATTTGTATTATAATTTTTCACATTTTAATATATTTTTTTTTTTTTCTCTCTTTGTTGTTTTTTGTTGTTTGTTGGTTCAATTTTGGTTGTCTTTTTTAACATTTATTTCTGTATATGGTTGTCTTAATGTGCTGGACGTTTGCCTTTGGGGTACCTCACATGCAAATGTTAAAAAATTTTATATGACAAATAAAGAAATATAAAAAAATTAAAAAAAATAAAGAAAGTTCACTTCCACATCGTCTGCGCAAAGCCATCCAACGTTTGATGGCAGTGAATCCTGCCATTGGTTTGGCGTGACAGTCGTAACTGGGGACCCCTGTTTGCTTTCTCAGATGTGCTCTTTGGTGTCCATAGAAACGGGACACCAGAGAAATGTCTTTAACCCCGAAAGGACCAAACTTCTGGAATAAAAGGGAATCATGACATGTCACAAGGGGTTAACAAGCTCAGAATAAACTCTTTAATGAACACGTTTGTAATGCGCAAATTAAAGGCAAACTATTCAACATATATTATTATTTATGAAGCGCCAACCAATTCCGCAGCGCTGTACAATGGGTGGACTAACAGACACGTAATTGTAACCAGACGAGTTGTAAGCACAGGAACAGAGGGTGTTGATGGCCCTGCTTACACGCTATGTGAGAAAAGAAACTGCAGCCTTGAATGGAGACATGCAACTTTTCTACTGATATGCTTGAACTGAGTGGGAACAACAGGGAACAAACCGAAAATAGAGGGAGAAAGCCTCAAATTCGGAAAGTATGACGTTAGCCTGCCAGGCTGTCCAACCCCCCCTCAGGATTACACTCATGCTAAATGTCATTGTAGTGTTCTGCATGGGAACTCATTTCAAGTGGAGGAAGTGTCCATTGTTGCGCTGACAATGCATTTCATGGCTCCATTGTACTGATTGCAGTGTTTAGTGGGGCTTTAATTTTTGTAAAACACCAACATAAACTCCAGCTCTGTATAGTAGTTGGACTAACAAACAAGTATTTGCAGCAAGACAAGTTGGAATAAAGGAACAGATGGCAGTAAGGGCTCTGTACAAAGAGCTTACAGTCCAACCGTTTACTGTCAACCTGTAATGCAGCGTCCTTTAGGAGATAAAACCATAAACAATGGGGGCTACATATAAAAAGTGGCGTTGTTGTTTTTATGTAGTTTTGTCGCATCTTCGGTGTGCGCCAATATTTTCCTTCATCTGAAATATATTTTTATTGTTTGTGCTTAAGCGTACATCTTGTGCAGCAAATTTCTGTGACAAGTAGCTTACACTATTATTATTATGGCCATTTATATAGCACCAACAGATTCTGTAGCGCTTCACAATATTATGAGAGGGGGGGATTTAACTTTAAATAGGACAATTACAAGAAAACTTACAGAAAATGATAGTTTGAAGAGGGCCCTGCTCAAACGAGCTTTCAGTTTATAGGACCATTCATATTGCATATTAGGCCTCCACCTGCCCCTACTAATATTACCATTTGCCATACTTTGTGACCCTAATCAGTAGTAAAATCATCAGGGGAAATAAAAGGAGTAAAATCTGAAATAGGAATAAAAAGTGCCAGAAAACACGGATTATTTTGGGGTGTATAAAGATAGAGAAACTTTTTTTGCACAGATTAAAATGGAACATTCACAAAGAAACTGGCGCAAAAATAACAAATGCGCCAATTCATAAACTCTAATGTGTCAAAAGCCGGTGGGAACATTCCAAGAAAGTTCTCGGCATTTTCCGCCTATCTCCGACTGGGATCGGAATCCCGAGTCTCACTCAGCCCATTCTTATTGGATGGCGCGCTTTTGTCCCCGCCCTCTGCTCGCCGAGCTGTGATTGGTGGCTCTGCAAGTCCATTCGCGGCCTAGTCCCTGCAGGGCGTCAGTAAACACGACCGAACCCCCTGTCTCTGTCTCTCTCTCTGTGGCTCGGCCGCTGCCGGAAGGGGCGGGGCCTCGGTGCGCGCGCAGCGGGCGGGAGATAGGAAATAACAATAACGCCCGATAGACTGAGTCCCGATCTGCGCTGAAGATGCACCATGGCCCGGCGGGCGCGCAAGTACGGACCGCACTTCCCCTCCCCCACATATCGCGGGGATCCAGCCCTGTGTATGGACACCGCCATGGCCGCCTCCCGGGGGGGGTCACAGCGCTCCCCGGGGGTCCTGGAGCCCGCCCTCCCCGCCCAGCTCCTCGTAACACACCGACCGCCATGGTTATATCCCGACACCGGCTACCCTGCCCGCCATAGACAGCTTTCCCGCCACCCCCGGCTCCCATAGACCGCCCATCAGTCACTGCAACTCCCATCACTCCCAGGCAGTCACTGCCCCATCCATCAGCGCAGCTCCCATCACTCCCAGGCAGTCACTGCCCCATCCATCAGCGCAGCTCCCATCCCTCCCAGGCAGTCACTGCCCCATCCATCAGCGCAGCTCCCATCACTCCCAGGCAGTCACTGCCCCATCCATCAGCGCAGCTCCCATCACTCCCAGGCAGTCACTGCCCCATCCATCAGCGCAGCTCCCATCACTCCCAGGTAGTCACTGCCCCATCCATCCACAGCACCTTTTTCCACCATTCATCACCCCATCCATCCCTCTACCAGCACTCTCTACCCCAGGCTTCCCAAAACTTTGGCCCTCCGGATGTTGCTGAACTACAACTCCCATGATTCTCAGCCTATCTATTTCATTCATAGAATCATGGGAGTTGTAGTTCAGCAACATCTGGAGGGCTGGAGTTTGGGGAAGCCTGCTCTACCTCATCCATCCTTTCCTACTTTAGCACCTTCTACCACCACTCATTACCCCAGCTATACCTCCCACAGCACCTTCTACCACCACTCATTCCTCCAGCTATCCCTTCCCTCCCATAGCACTATCCCACATTGTCAAACATTTTGCCATCATAGTGGATGATCATCTTGGTTTTGTCATCTAAATTGTTTGTAATGCTTTTTATAGAATCACTTTCACTCCAATTGCATTACTCTCCCCTGGCACCACTCTGCCCTTTATTCCTCCTTAAATATCTTGTTTTTAAAACAATGATTCCCAGAAGAACTTTTGCTGCTCAGCTTCTCCTATCCAAGGCCACATTTTACTCACTAACTTTATACTTTCACTTTTTGCCACTGCTGTCTCAATTTATTATTTGTGGTGTTTTTTGACCTGTTTTCAAGACTTTCTTACTAGACGTGGTTATTTTTCATTGTGCACCACGTTACAGATCTTGTATTTATTAGTGTTTCAGGGTTTTGTTTTTTTAATTTAACATGTTTTGAGTATATAGTTTTTCATGTTCATACCAACCTGGGATTAATGGTGCGGGGCGGTTGGGATATGCCAGTTAAGGGCCAGATGCTAACTGCTCTGGACTAGCCGTATTTACAATTTCAATCGGTTTTTCTCAGTGACATGTCATGGCATGCCCTTGAAGTACTTCAGCTTGCTGAAGTGGTCTATGTGTGAACAGTGCCATGTTTTGCACTGTAAAAAGTTTAGATATTGGTACTTTTATAAGTCTACCTTGTTACACCCATTAGTGGTCAATCCCTAATTATCACATTGTACACTGATCCTTCTTAGGAGGTATCACATAACTTTTCATTGTATCATATACAGGAATATTCGCTAAAGTGAGGTTTGTTTTTTTTTTTTTTTTATACGTGTTTCTCAAATGTAAAGGACCACTATAGAAACCCAGACCACTTCAGCTCAATTAAGTGGTCTGGGTGCCAGGTCGCTCTATTCTTAACACTGCAGCTGAAAACATAGCAATTTCAGAGAACTGAGGTTAATCCAGCCTCTAGTGCAGGCGTAGGCAACCTTTTAGCAGCACTGTGCCGATATAGGATTGTGATGTCCCGTAGGTTGCCGGTCCTATTTTTTTTTTTTTAAATTGAGGTGTGTATGCTGCCATATTCTGCTTGTGTTATGTATACTGTAATTGCTTTGTATCGTTGTATTTGTGCGTATGAGCTATTATATTGTATATGTTCATTAGTAGTTTGTGGTATCATGTATGATACATATGAATGTGGGCTGTGTATGGGGGCTGCTTGTGGAATTGTGTGTGGATATGTCACATTGTGTGTTTGGTAGTGTGTGGGGGCTGTTTGGGGAATTGCATGTGAGAGGCTGCATGTGGGGTTGTGTGCATGTATGTGGATTGTTAGCGGGTTATGTTTGTGCGGATTGTATGTATGTTTGCTTCTGGGCTATTTGTATTATTTGTATGAGGGGAGGGTTATTGTGCATTTATGTGTAAATCTAGCAGTGTGGGTGGCTTCCCTGGGTTCCAATGGGGACCAGGCTGGCCAAGTACAGGTCAAGGTCTGAGATCACTTACTCTGTGTGCTGCAATGCATAAATTGAGGATTGTCCTTCACCACCTTTTCGTATTAGCAGATATCTGAAGTTTCACTGGGACTCCTGATAGGCCAGAGCCTGTTTGGCTGTAGCAGCCTTGAGTGCCGTAGGTTGCCTACCCCTGCTCAAGTGGCTCTCACAGACAGCCGCTAGAGGCACTTCTGCGATTCTCACTGTGAAAATCACAGTGAGAAGACGCTGGGTGTCCATAGGAAAGCATTTACTGCAAGATTTACACAGGGGAGCTGGAGGGAGCTGATGGAAAGGTAAGTAAACGCTTACTGCGGACGCCCACTGATTACGTGCAACAATTATACATGCTCGCCATCATTTATGGTGATTAGTAAGGTATTAACAGATTCTTCCACACATAAATGAAATACTGATTCCACCTATCATAACATGGGAGATATTTTAATGTGATTAGCTGAACAGTTCTAGGTGAGTTTCTCTATTCAGTCCCTCTACAGTAGTGATGTCGCGAACCGTTTGCGAACTTGCCGCGAGCGGTTCGCCACGAACCGTTCGCGGCGAACTCCGGTCAGCTGACACATCCCTGTCAATCTCCGGCAGACCCTCCCACCTCCTGGACAGCATCCATGTTGAAGCTGCCTGGTGTTCTCTGGAGGTTATGATGGGGCAAGGGGTTGGTCGTAACACATTTCCGCTATAAGGTGACAACCGGACACTGAGGATTTATGTTGGGTGTATGCTATATGGCATGAGGTCCATGGTGCTACATGTAAGTAGTTTTGGTAATTGTTCACCACAATTCCAAAAAAGAACTGTGCCTTTTAATCCGTAAGCGCCAAATTATTTGCACACCGTGGATACTTAAAAGTACTCCATTTATTGAAAAATATGCAACATGACACAGAAAATACTCAGACCTCATAAGTAACATGTGAACTAGATGAAATCCAGAATAAGTTAACTAAAAGTGCTCACAAAGTAAAAAAAAATAAAAAAAATAAAAAAATATTCAAAGTCCAAGCAACGTGAGAAGTCAGGGAGTAATGAAGGCTATGAATTTCCCAAAGCGACTTCTGTTTTGGTGCATTCTAAGCGAATCCAAATAAACCTAGCCCAAGCTGCTTATTGAAAGAATTTCCGTTCTTTATGTAAGCTAGTTCGTATATATGCATGAAATATGGCAGCTATATGGGGAAACAAACCAGTAAATTTTTTAAGCTGTCCTCGAACATGCATAAAAACAAGGGGCAAGAGAAGGTTGCTTCTGTATCTACAAACTGATAGTGAACTCCAATGCAGCCAATGAGCCAGGTAGTCACTGTTCTATTCAGTGACATGCATGGGTGGGGACCCATAAAAATAGGCACAACTGGATCTCAAAGGCAAACTGGTGCAACCACAAAGAACAGATGATTTGGAGTCAATTCCGTTTAACAGTGTCATTGTGCATTGATAAATCTCAATGTGTCTGAAATGTCTGGTTTTTATGCTGTTTATTAAACATATGGTAGGCATTTGTGCCTGTCTACTACTATCACTTGTAAATGAAAGCTGTTTTTGTTTCGTATTATTTAGAAGCAAAGAATACATGTATTATTTTGTAATGTATGCATACATCGTCAACTTCTTTTTGAGCTTAGTTTTGTAATTTGTTTGGATGGCCATCTCAAAACCACTGTTACCAGGTTTTAATTTCTCATTTTTAAATTGTATTACATGAAATTACTTTAATTTTTCTTTTCTATTTTTTTTAATGATGAATATTGATCTTTTTCCCCCAGAGAAAATTTCACTGTATCTGGCCGAGCAGCCATGCTGGGTCAGACGCTACTTTTATCTACCAACAGCTGCTCAACCTACAGAGCCTGTTGCTGCAGTTTCACATAAAACAATCATCCTTAAATTAGGGTCAGCAGCAGCTGGTCAGATAAGTCTGACCCAACATGGTTGTTCAGCTAAATACAAAAAAGGAAGAGACTCTTTCTCAAAAAAAGTATAGCTCATTTAGAAGAAAAAAATATGTATCATTACGTTTCATTAAATGCAATAAACTTTTTAAAAACTGGAAGTGAAAATTTGATGGCAGTTGTCATTCATGTACTCTTTGATTGTAACCACTGCTCATCTGAATAAAAGCCCAACATGTAATCGAGTATGTGTGTTCACACATCATGGCATGCTCACGCACTGGGAATCACAGAAATGCATTTTGGAACCGTTTCATACCTTTAAAGGGATTTTATAGTGACAGGAAAACAGTTGTTTTCCTGGCACTATAGATTCTTACAGTGCCCCTCTCTCGCGCCCCCCTCCGCCCTACTGCAGTTAAAAGCCCTCCTTACCAGTGTCCAGTGCTGATGTCCCTTGGCGCTGGGTCAGGCTCGCCCAAGCTCCTCACCTGCCGTCAGCCATGCATTAGCATTAAGATGCTTTCCTATGGGGAAAAAATCTGACGCTGGAAGTCCTCATGCAGAGCGTGAGAACATCAACTGTCCTATCCAGACCAAAGGTCCATTTCAGTTCAGGAAGTATCTCTAGTGGCTGTCTGGTAGATAGCCACTAGAGGAGGAGTTAACCCTGCAAGGTAATTTTTGCAGTTTCTATTAATGTGCTTTAATGCAGCACTTTGGGAACATCCAACTTCCTTCGCAATTACCTTTTTTGAGGCTTTCCCTCCATATGGAAGGTGTCAATGATGGTTTTCTGTACAACTGTCAGGTCAGCAGTCTTCCCCATGATTGTGATTCCTACTGAACCAGACTAAGACCATTTAACCTCTTAAGGACATATGACATATGTGACATGTCATGATTCCATTTTATTCCAGAAGTTTGGTCCTTAAGGGGTTAAAGGCTCAGAAACCCTTTACAGGTGTTATGGCTTACTTAGTTGATTAGAGTGGGACACTGTGATCCTAGAATATTGCACCTTTTCACAATATTCTAATTTACTGAGATTGTGGATTTGGGGTTTTCATGAGCTATAAGCCATAGTCATCCCACTTATGACAAATCACGGCTTGAACTATCTTGCTTTGCATATAATGCGTCTATCTCGTATATTAGTTTCCCCTTTTACGTTGCATTACTGAAATAAAGGAACTTTTGCACGATATTCAAATTTTTCGAATATCACCTGTATACTTATTCAATACAAAATAATACACAACAAGGTTTTATTACACGTCATATTGTTTCTTGGGTATTATTAGTCTATATTGTGTTTGTCTCTTACTAGGTTCTAGAAATTAAAGCGTCACTGTCCCGCCAAACTTGCCTTTCTCCTATTGTTTCCTCTTTTATTTTTATTTTTTTCTTTCTCTCTCTCTCTCTCTCTCTTTTTTTTTTTTTCTGATCTAGTTTTCGTTAAAACATAAAAAAAATTGTGACAACTTTGTCTTACAGTGTCTCTAAATATTTTTCCTACGCTTTACTTTCTTTGACTAAAGGAGGAGCTTAAGTCTACTCCATTTCCTGTGGTCAGAGAAATTACACTCCATTCTCCTTGACACAGGAAATGGAGCAGATTTAAACTCCTCCTTGGATCAAAGTCAAGCATAAGAAAAATACTTAGACGCTGTAGGCACCCAGACCACTTCAGCTCATTAAAGTGGTCCGAGTGCAATGTCCCATCACCATTAACCCTGAGCATGTAATTATTGCAGTTTTTATAAACTGCAATAATTATTTGCTAGGGTTAACTCCTCTAGGGGAGGAGGTGGAAGCTGTATAGTGCCAGGAAAACAAGTTTGTTTGTTTTCCTGGCATTATAGTTTCCCTTTAAGACAAAGAAGTCCTTACTTTGTCTTCTGTTTTAAAAAAGTAGATCAGAAATAAAGAAAAGAACAGATTCTGGGAGAGGAAGAGAAGAGGAAACAATGGGAGAAAGGTAAGTTCGGCATGACAGTGCCGCTTTAGCGTAGGTTTAATGTCTCTAAGCAAGAGTGCTAAATATTGCTGTTGTTGAGACTAGCAGGAATTTTCCTGGACTTGTGGTATAAAACATTTAACTGCTTCTCAAGGGTGTTGTTTCTAAGGTTTTACCCATGCCTTGTGTTTGACCAACTTTGAATAGTTGGTGTACTTGTACCGTTTATGCCTAATACTGTGAGCTTAACAGTAGACATTAAGTCATAAATAGTCAAACTGCAGCAATATTTTGAACCATAAGCAGAAGCATTTGGCAGGTTTTTATGGTGTTTGTTCCAATTAATATCTGATGTATATGTTCTTCAGTATTTCTTCATAGATGCTTTATTCACCAAATTCCCATTTCTGAACAGTGTGAATTCTGAGACAACTGAGTGAGTTTGTACGTCTGCAAGGGCAGATTATTGCAATTTAATTCCATATATGTTAAAACCTCATTTCTTTTCACAGTGAAGATCTCGAGGACTTGCAATATCTTGACACAGACTCTGATGTTCCTGAACAGAGGGAAAACCGCGTCAAAGTGAAATGGACTGCAGAAGAGGTGAATGGATCTTTCTTTTATATCTTTGTGTCAATAAAGTGGACATTTGTAGACCATTATTCTTTAAGCTAGAGATAACATTTTAAAGGCAGACTGTAGGCCCCATAACTGCTTCATTTCATTGAAATGGTTAGTGTCTGGAGCCCTTTGGTGCCGTCCTTCCATTTATGAATTAAAGGGACACTATAGTCACCAGAACTACAGCTTAATGTAGATGTTCTGGTGTCTACTGCCTGTCCCTGCAGGCTTTCAATGTAAATGCTGCCTTTTCAGAGTAAAGGCAATCTTTCCATTACTGCCTAGTAACACCCCTAGTGGCAGTCACTCAGACCGCAACTAGAAATGCTTCCTGGGTCACTGCTGCACAATGTTCAGCACTGATGTTCCAGGGTCTACATGCAACTTTCCCCATAGGGGTGCATTGGTTAAATGCATCTCTATGAGGAGATGCTTATTGGTACAGGGTGGCATCTTGCTATGCATGTGCAATAGCGTCCAAATGCTTTCCTATGGGAAAGAATTGGATTGGCTGAGATCATAAAGACTGATCTCAGCAAAGGAGGGAAAGCTGGAGCAGAGTCAGCAAAAAGGTTTTCGAAGCCAGGGACCCTCATAGTTACATCTCTGAGGCACATTAGCCTGAACAAATACATTTTTGCTGTGCATTTGAATGTTTTGTAGCATAGAATATTGCAGAGTCTGTAAACAGTTATTCAAATATATAATCTATTTGCAAGTTTTAATGATATTGTAACCATGTCTATCTTAAAAGAACGTTCCAGACACATTAAGCACTTCAGCTTGCTGTAGTGTTTTGTGAGGCTGGAGTCTGTCATATTTGTGATGGCTTATTAAAGCGCAGATTTATATAGAAATCAACACTTGTCACAACTAGGGACGTTTTCTTATTTAATTTAGATATACAGAGTCCGTGAAAGTGGCATGCTTCCCCCTCTCAAAGAGCTCAGTGAGAAGCATGGAAAAGCTGTGATTACGCATGCTTGCTGCTCCAACACAAGACTTCTCATTAAAAAAAAAAAAAAAAAAGTAACAAAGCCTCTGATGTATTCCCTGTCAGATTGAAAGTCTATGCTAGGGAAGAGAGACAGGCCTGCAGCTTTTGCACGCGGTTTTTTCATATACCCCTAAAATATACATGCATGTTTTTTGTTAAAAGATTTAATACAAAATATCTATTTAAACGCCTTTTCAAATGAATGGCATTCCTTGCTACTAAGATATTAAGTACTACTTTAGCAATGATTACGGCTGTTTCTGTTTCATTTAAAGAATTTCAATCTTCCTTAAAAACCTATAAAGAGCTTTCTAAACACATGCAATTTATGTTGGAATTGATAGAATTGTAACTGCTAGGGTAATGCAGCAAATTAAACCTTTACTCTCATTTTATGCAATGCTAAAGCGATTAAGGCTGCATTTAAAATTAAACTGAATACTAAACATTCTTTATGTGTCCCTTTTTTTAATCCTTTAGTTTATTTTTCTTACTGGTTGGTTTGTGCTGTATCTGAACATTCTTTTGTTTTTGCTAATTTTGTCTCTAAAAGGTTGTTTAGTCTTTTAATTAGTAAACAATTACAAAAGTGGAATGCCCACCTGCCATTTCAAGGCAAACCTCTCAGGTGGGTCCTACAATAACCATTCACATTGCTTCCTTGAGCTTCTGGCAAATATATCTATAATGAGACAGAGAGGGTATACCCAAGAGTAGTGGGAGTATACCCACCTAGGGTTTCTTTGACGTGGCAGGTGGGCATTTCCCTCTGATGGCCATTGGAGTAACTAAATAACCCCCATTTGTTTATATATAGGGATTTGGGAAAGAGCGCAGGTAACTTTTTCTTTTTTTTCTTCTTCTTCGGTTTTTAATGTATGTATTGGGGCTGATGTGTACTGTGGTCGTTGCTGCCGCCCAAGAGTAGTGGGAGTTTGAGCGCAGGACTTGTTTTTTTAAAAAAAAAATTTCATTTGTAATTACAAAAGTGGAGTTTGCTTGAGGTCACGTTCTTGTACCGTGAAGTTAACTCTGTGACCTATCCAACTGTAATAAACTAAAGTTCTGCGTAACACCTTTTGTTGCCTATGTGCAGTAGATGCTAAAATACACTGGAGAAGGCAGTGTTGCTACAGTGATATATAATGGGAGCTGTTGCTCGTGCTTGACCAATATCTTGTGCCTTTTTTCAAAACAAGGACCCATAAAAGACTTTGTTCAGCTTCAGTTGGTGGTTATTGTTAGGCATACTGATCCCAGTTGCGAAATTCCCACGGGTTATTTACAAAACTGCGAATTGTCAGGAATTCAAGGTGAATTTCTAACAAGTCACACTTCAATGGGGGAAAAAAACTCACCACTATTTACACTTCAGTTAAATGCATGTGAAGATATATGGATGTGTTATTACAACAATAAAACAGTGCTGCTTTGTCTGGTGCAAGATTCACCCTGCATCTATGTGCTCTGTATTAAGAGCTTCAGTCGCTAGATCTCAGCTCAAGGTCGGAATCTTCCTTACATGTTGTAAGTCTGTTTATGTATATGTATGTATGTATGTATATGTATGTATATATATATATATATATATATATGTGTGTGTATATATATATATATGTGTATAATATTATAATTTTTAATTTGTAGTTTTTTGTTTTTTTTATTCGCCAATGGCTAAATGCAAATGGAATTTTTTAGCCGTGGTTGGGATTATTCATTTATTTTAATTATTACATGCATCTCTGTAAGTCCATTTCTTCAAGATTGCAAACGTACTGATGGTTCTTACTGCATTGTCTAAAAATGGCAGAATGTGGCTGTGTTAAAATATGCAGTTATTCTAGCTTCAAACATTTACATTCATTCACTATTGTTTCTTTCATGCTAATTCTAGTAATTATTTTGTAAGTGAGATATCTTATAAATGCTAGGTGTAGGCTATTAATTTTATTGGATTGATCGAGATGTAGCATACCTTTTTATCAGAAGGTGTCTTGGCTATATCCTGCTAGGCTTTGAGATCTTTAAAGAGACACTCCACTGCCCAAATACAAAATAAATATAAAGTTTTTCAGCAAGGTAGAGTGCATTAGGGATCTGGGGTGTCCGTTTAAAGTATTTGGCAAGCAAATATAACTTAACTTCTTATAACATTGAAAATTTGTAGGAGGCGGAGAACAACCTAAAAAAAAAACAAACAAAAAAAATGTCCCCATTAGAGAATAATGCTGGGCCAATAAAACTTAAGGGTTTCTCTGCAAGTTGCCATGAACTACACTGGTGTGCTAATAAAAATAAATGAAAATTTATAGTTTGTCTTGTACTTAAATTTTTTTTTTTTTTTCATCTCCTTTTCCTTCTCCCCCATTGCTTATAGGATGAGAGTTTGAAGTCTTTGGTAAAGAAGTATGGACAGTGTGATTGGAAACTAATAGCCAGCAACTTGACTGTAAGTTAAAGAGTTACAAAGCTTGTATTGTTTATTTTCTTGGCTAGTTTGGCCCAGGTTTCTTTATTTTAGTCTGTAACTCTGTAATTTCAGAAAATGATGCACGCAAGCATTGAACAGTCACAATATAACAAAAGTATTGAATATCAATAAATAGAAGTGACAGTGATGACTCATTCTTGTGTAGTATTTCATATGTGGGTTATTTTGACAAAATGTAATTTATTTATTTTATAGAACCGGACAGAACAGCAGTGTCAACACCGGTGGCTTCGTGTTCTCCATCCAGACTTGGTCAAAGGCCCCTGGACAAAGGAGGAAGATGAGAAGGTGGGAAGAGGCAGGATATATAATTTGAGAAAGGAAATTGGTGCTGGTGCAATGAAACCAGTGATGCAGTTTCACATCAGTGTCTTGTATATACAATATCCTAATTTAGTATATTTGTTTATGTTCCTGCTGAACATTAAACCTCTCCGTATTTCTTATGCTGGTAGTTTAAATTTGCAAATGATTGTTTGCTGTTAAACTGAAACTACGTTTCCACTCCACTAATATCTTGTCTACACTCGTGTTTGCAGGTAATTGAGCTGGTGAAGAAGTATGGCACTAAACACTGGACCCTCATTGCCAAGCAACTGAGGGGTAGAATGGGCAAGCAGTGTCGTGAGCGCTGGCATAACCACCTCAACCCAGAAGTTAAAAAGTCCTCATGGACAGAGGAAGAGGATCGAATTATATGTCAGGCCCACAAGCTTCTTGGCAATCGCTGGGCTGAAATCGCCAAGCTCCTGCCTGGCAGGTAGGGGGGAATAACTGCCTATTTACACATTTCTCTAAATCATGAATCCTCTGCACGAGTCACTTTTGCAGTTTAGTTACTTTGAAGTTTAGATATAGGTATTGGGAGCTTTAGGCTTCTTAGAGATGCAAACATGTTTATAATGCCTTGCATGTGATGGCGAGGAGGCAACCCACTTTCTAGCTAAAGTCTGTGTGGACACAGAATCTTGACTTCTGAATCAGAATTTCAGAGAGACACAGGCAGCAGTAACGATGCATTTTCAATGATTTGGTGAGCAAAGGCATCAGGTTCTGCACAGTTCAATAGTGGCAGACGTCCTTCAAGATTACTCGTAATAGACTTTAGACTCTCTTCCACAAAGCAAGCAACATTTCAACTCTACAACTTTACATAAAACTGGGCTTGCCAAAGGTTCCCCTATGGGGTAAATATCTAGTAGACCCAATCACAAAACATTCACTGAAGTATGAATTACTAGGCATGTCAGATGAAATCAAAGTGAACTTTAAGTGTTAAGAGAAAATACCCAGTTTAGAAGTCTTTAAGTTAGCTATGTTTTCCATTTGGTAATTTTGGCATAATATTTGAAATCCACTTGAATTCCCAGATATTCACATTTTAATTTAGGGTATTGTCATCTGGGACAGGATGGAGTCCAGTGGGGAAAATAGTTTGACTTGTCATATTAAGTCTGTAGTTGAGTGTATAATTTCAAGCTTTCCGGTGACTGTTTTTGAGTGATATGGTCCCTGTGGATTTTTTTGCACAAATGAGAATCAACTCCGCAGCTCCAAAGTTAATGGATCTGGTTTACTGTTTGACTGGCACAAAATTTCAGTCTCTGTGGCGTTGGTCTAAACTGTGACTCCTTGGAGCTGACCATATTAAACATAACCATTAAATCTTTACACGATTTAAAATATTATAACTTTTGAAGAGTTGCAAAGCTAAAAAATCATGGACTTGGTAGCCATGTCTTTCCCAATCTAATTATAGAAATGGTTGCTGCTGTTAATTCCCTGGCCAGAAACAGTGTTTGCTTTATTTTGCTTTTAGGACAGACAATGCAGTGAAGAATCACTGGAATTCAACCATAAAACGTAAAGTAGAAACTGGACGATTCTTGAATGGGATAAAAGATGTCCAGGGGGAACAAGAAGAAAAGGAGGACTCTGGTTATCAGGCTTCTGAAGACCAGGTAAAGAGGACCTAGCACGTGTGAGACTCCACTGTAACTGTATAAACTATGGGAGAATCATAGGAGATGTAGTATGGCAACTGAAGCAACATCAGCGGTCATCTTATGAACTAAATCCGGTTCAACTACATTGTTCTACTCTTATATTTGTTTAACCCCCTCTTTCTCATACGTCTTCTGTTTCTCTTGTGGGTTTTGTTTTAGCAATCTGAGCTGTATGCTGGCACTCCAGAAGTGAAAACAGATGCTACAGAACTAGGCATCATCTCTGGCTCACCCACACTGGCCGTTAAAACATCACATTTAAAGGATGAACAGCACAGCGAGGGTGAAGATGCTCTAAGCACAGCTTCCAGCCCACCCTCTGCTCCTGCTTCTGTGGATTCCTGTCCAGAGAAATGGATGGTAGAGTACATCAATTTCCTTGCACCAAACACAGACATGATGGAACCTGTAAGTGTCCTGCAGCCTATAAACTGTGAATCTATTTAGATTTAAAACGCAAATGTCTATTGAGACACTTAACTGTGCGTTAAAGCTTTGTATTTCAATATATTTCTGAAGTTTCTTGGTCTGATTCTGCTTTATACATTTTGTCTATCCAGGACCCTGATAGCTGGTGTGACTTGGCAACATTTGATCTTGGAGAAGACTCTCAAGTAGGTGACATTGGCAGTCCTATGCGCACTTCAACCACATCTGAGAAGCCCCAGCCATCCAGTGTCACTGAATACCGACTAGATGGGCACACCCTCTCTGATCTGAGTAAAGGCAGCAAGGGAGAGCTTATTCCCATCTCTCCTCGGCCCAGTGCTGGCTTTTCAACACCCCCCTCCCTGCTAAAACATCACAGGAGGAGGAAGATCACACTCTCCCCAGTCACAGAGTGTGGGAATAATGGCAACATATCTGCTACGGAAGGCAACAGCATGACTCCTAAAAGCACACCTGTCAAATGCTTGCCATTCTCTCCATCACAGGTAAGGTTACAGCTATATACTAACCCATATTATTGCATAGATGAAGGGATGCCCCAGAAATGCCTTATTCAAAGAGACATTAAGTAAAAATAATTTTTATTTAACTTGAGCATTTCTAAAGTCGTGAAGACTATTTGGCTTTATAGATTAAGTTTTAAACAGTAGTCTGACGATTTCACATTTAAATATCCATAGACTTCACTCCCAAGACACACTGTTCTTTAATATAGCTATAACACAACTACTGCTTGTATTTCCTCCACCTGGTTTCACGTTGGGGTGTTTTTACAATAGTTACATTTCTTTAGGCTCAGCTGATGTTTATATAGTTAAACTTAGATCTTGGTTACTCACAGAAACTACATGACCTTCAGTCTTCTTGCTACCCAAAAACAGTATCAGAATTTTCAATTCAGTTAACATTTGTTTTTCTTGTTTTTTTTTTGTTTTTTTTTCTGCACCCTAGTTCTTGAACTTTTTGTCAAAGCAAGATGCTTTAGAGCTGGAGAATCCTTCACTCACCTCCACTCCTGTGTGCAGCCAGAAGGTGGTGGTGACTACTCCACTCCACCGAGATAAAACTCCACTTGTGCAGAAGAATTCAGCGTAGGTCAATTTATATCTACTTGGCTGGTTGTAGGGTAATGTGCAGCAAAGCAAGCTTCTCAAATTGTGCTGACTTCCATGGCCAAGTCCAGGGGTAGGCAACATTTGGTACTCCAGATGTTATGCATAAACATATACCGCACTCAAAATTGTTTAAATCAATGTGATATATACAATTAAGGCAATGTGAAATAATTTACATATAACTTATCCTACCACAACCACTAAAATTATCAGTGATACACCATATATGAATAAACTCCAATTAAGTCCGACTTTGTCAGTAGCGTTAGTGCCTAACCGCACTGTATGACTGAGAGCCCTCTATACAGTCAAAATCAGGTTTCTTTCTGGCATGGAGGCCAAAAATATGAAAATTGAGAAAAGAAAAAAATAAACAAAAAATCGAAAAAATATTTGATATTTACAGTCTCTGTGTGTACACACTAAAAGGCAGTAGTAAGTGTCCTGTATACATAATATTTGGATGGATCTCACTAATATTTCAGCTGGAGCAAATCCTGTAAAAGGTGATGCTGTGGCTTATTCAAGCAATTATCTATTGAGAAGAGGCAATTAAGTCACGTTTTCTTCTTAACGAGTTATTTTTGAGTGCGGTATCATATGTTTGTGTATATATTTAAGGTATTAAGAGTGGGCTACCTTGATATCCAGCACCTATTTAGATAGAAGAGTGCCTGTACATATCACTGATTTTTGCTCCAGATGTTATGGACTACATCTTCTTAACCCCTTAAGGACCAAATTCTGGAATAAAAGGGAATCATGACATGTCACACATGTCAAGTGTCCTTAAGGGGTTAAGGTTGCATACCCCTGGCCTAGTCTGTGTAGTGCATGCTGACTTCAGACTAGTGAAGGATTATGCAATATATTCACTTTCAATAACTATCTTATTGAACAGTCATTTTTTTTCTTTTCTTCTTTTCTCACCAGGTTCATAACTCCCAATCGAAAGTTTATGGGTGAGAACACACCTCACACACCCACTCCATTTAAGAATGCTCTTGAGAAGTTTGGGACACTGAAGCCTCTGGTATATTGCTATTCTGTTAATGCATGTGTAGTGTGAAGTATTGAATTGTGTTTGCAGTGCTGGCAGAATAGCGCATTATCCTGCTTGGAAGTATGTTTCACACTGGGAAGACTTGTATACCTTGTTAAGATTTACCCTTAGAACTGCTGCCTCAAAAGGGAAAAAAATAAAATGTGATGTTTCATCAAACATGAGTTGAAGGGTCACTTTAGTCACCTGAACCACTCTGCTTAATGTAGGTGGTTCTTGGGCATGTAGCAGAACACTGCAGACTCAGCATTGTAAATGATGTCTTTTCAGATGAAAGGCAGTGTATTCAATGCTGAAAAGTCCAAAGGGAGAATTCAGCACTTGTAGATACTGGTGTAATTCATGGCTGCCTAACAGCCAAGTCCGGTGTCTCTCTAATCCGGTACAACGCAGTCAACAAAAGAGGGATTGGTGTGGCGCTTGAGTGGTCCTTGTGAAATCTATGCAACACTAAAAAGAAAAGGGGGAGTGCTGATCTACGTGCAATACGTAGAGGTATCTGGTTAAAAGTGAAATGGATAAAATATGCACTCACTTTTTCAGGGCTTTAAATCCTCTCCAACTTTAGCGCCTGGGAGGAATGATCCCCGCTTTGGAGTATCGTGTATAATTGCACCACGGCCACACTAGATCAGCTCTTCACTTTTTTTATTTTTTTTTATTTCATGGCATATGTTTCATAAGGGCCACACCAATTCCATATATATATATATATATATATATATATATATATATATATATATATATATATATATATATATATATATATATATATATATATATATATATATAATTTTTGTTGTGCATTTATACAAGACAGTAAGTTGCACTGATGTGACATAAAACGTGAGTCGGGACATGTGAACAGAACAGTGAAGCTTAAACTGCACATTTTTGGTATATTACACAGGCTGGAAAAACAGTGCTATTGGTTGAAGTTTATCAGGGTACCAGGGTAAAATGCAAAGCACTGGATGTATGAACTAGGTGATATTAGATCTTGGAAAAATCAAGTAGGTATATTCAGAATGCTGGAAAATCACTGGGTGCCAATAACAAACACAAATGTGCTGAGAACACTGCTGTGCTTAGACTAGTTGCATGAACAGAAACTGATTTTTCCTGAGTCACTCAGCCTATTCCGCTTGTGGGCCAGGACAAGAAGGGCAGTACTATATCGGACATCGCTCTCTCCCCTCCCGCTTCCACCATTCTACACAGGGATGTCCTAGGTTGATGCATCTGTTGTAGGAACTGCTCCTCAATGTGGACCCGCTTACCACCTCCGATCCAGGCAGCGATGGGAACCCAACGTCCAGGGGTCTCTCCATGGAGAGGTTGTGTGCCCGCCAGGGCCTCTGACGTCGGAGCCCCCTTCAGGTGTGAGGATGTTGATGTGGACGTTGCTCCACGTGGGCCCCCAGCCAAGAGGAGGAAGAGTGAGTCGGAGCGGCCTTTGGTGATAGCGAAGGGGCAAGCAATTGACTGTTCCCAGCTTGTGGGGTACGTCAGCTGCTAATTTTATGCCAAATTTCTGTCAGATTGCCTCAAATCGAGCATTTCAGTGCAAGGGCCATCTTGGGTGCGCCACGTGGCACGTTGGTGCTGGCTGATGGCTAATTGTAAAGTGTCTTGACCCAGTGTGGACCAGGATAACCTTCGCCAATCCTAAGGGACTATCTGGACTATCTGTGCTCAATGTCGGGGATGCGTCTCCTGTCAGGGTGATCGGCCGCTTCTCCTAACCGTCCGCGCTCCCGTCTCGCTGGGCCTCAGATTCTAATGTCGTAGGGTATCGGCAGCTCTCCTCAAACCCGGATAAAAAGCATGTGCTGGGCATTAGACATCAGCCCTCACTAGAGGTTGTTCCACCATGAGGTCCTGCAAGCCCCTACTTTCAGTGTCTCCAAGCTCTGCATAGAAATGCATTGAATCAGTGTATTTCTATGAGGAGATGCTGATTGGACATACACACTAGCCCCCCCAAATGCTTTTTAATAGAGTAGCATTTCATTGGCTGAGACCATCAAAACTTCCGCCAACGAGGTGGAGCAGCTGCAGAGAGAACAGCATGGCAAAGGTTTAAAGGGAAGTAAATCTTCTATTTTTACTTTATTTTGCTGGGAGCGTGACAGTGAGTAGGACACTAGCATTAGAAATACAAGTTAGTGGTTTGTTTTGTTTTTATTTTTTTATAAATCGGTTCACTGAACCTCCAATTTAAAAAAATAAATAAATTTAAAAAATGGAAACGTTTTATTTTTTTACGTTCAGACATGCATTGCTTAATCTAAAAATACTTGGCTTCTGACTTTGGGATTATTAGTCAGTCTCCCTTCAGCTCTATTATTGCTATCAATATGATCACGCTGTTATACTTGACACACTGTCTGCAGGTAAAGTGACTTTAGTGTAAGAAAAACTAATCTTTTCTAAAATGCTGGATCCTCCTGTCTTTAGCACAAGCAGTTGTTTAATACATTTTTAAGAAAGAAAAACACATTAATATCAGTGCATGTGGCTATACTGTGTATGTGCAAATGAAGAAGAGCCTAGTTTAACTGTTGTATGTGTTATGTTAGAGAGACACTTCTGCAAAGGCTTGCCTTGTTTATAATTTGTGTTTTTAAGATTTCTAAATGACTGGTAATACTGATACTGTCTAATCTAACTTATTTATTTATTTTCAGCCCCAGACCCCTCACCTGGAGGAAGATCTGAAAGAGGTCTTAAGCCGAGAGTCCGGCATTGAGTTAGTAGTTGTAGATGATACAAAGTATGACCGTCAGAAGAGGAAACCTGGGGTAATTATCAAAGATCACTCACATTAAAATAAGCGGTTTTAGTTTATAAAAGGTGCAATATTACTCAATAGGGCTATGTTTAAGACACACACATTTTTCAAACTTTCAGTTTTACTTGTGCTTATTTGTGGAGTGTATCTTTTGTTTGATAAGCAAGCCCACCCTAATTGGATCTTGATTAGACCTTTTTTTTTTTTTTTTTTGCGCAAAATATTTTCAAACAAGCACATGTTGCCCTATTATAAAGATCAAACATTGATGTGGTATACAAGATGGTTAGTATGGCACAGAAAGTCATTGCACCTTTTTCAATATGCACAAAACAGGAACAGTAAACAGTTTGGTTAGTTGCATCTACATAGTGAGTTAGACTCATTGGAGCCAAAGGGTTCTGGTTGTGTGCTACGGTTCGAAGTCAGGCTTAATCTACAGTTTGGTTATGAAGCCTGTGTGATCGACTTTCGTTTCGACTACGTGACAAGCTGATCGTGGCGGAGCAAATGTTGGGCAGGGTGGGTACCGTGCTGCCCTGCTCTGCCTCTGCATTGAGGGTGATGACCCCCAACTGGGACGGGGGCACCGTGCCTGACGGTGTGGCCTCAGTGCTGTATGTTCCTTGAGAAATGCAGGGTTATAGGGTTTAGTGCTCATATGGGTGCCGAGGCATGTGTCTGGGCATTATGTGCCCCAGGGGCTGAAACCTGAGTGTGTGTGTGTGTGTGTAGGTGAGTGATCATGTGAAACAAATAACATAGAAAATAAAGAAATTAAAACCGTTAAACCAGCACAAAATAACATCTAATTCGTTGGAGCGTTAGAGGACCATTGATGGTGAGGTAGTCCATCACTATTAGATTAACGTGAGTGTTCATGGAACCAGAGGTAGTCTCCCCCTCGCTCCCGGGAATACAAGGTCAGGTAGTTGCTGATTCCCAGTGCTCTCCACAGGGTTTTGCTGGCCTTGTTGCGGTCAGGTTCGACAAGCCTAGGGTTTCCAGGAAGTTGGTGGCTTCATCCGTTGAGTTGAGGACGTGTGTTCACCCTTCGTAGGTGATGGTCAAGGAATCTCCTGTTCCCCACCTGCTGCTCGTAGCTGTGTGGTGGTCGGGCCGTATGCTTTGTGCCACAGTAGGGTAGCCTGTGATAAGTCCTGATAAAAGGTCGATTCTGAGTCCTCAAAGGATAGGGTCGTCTTGCCCTTAAGCGCAGTCATAATATGGAGTTTGTCTTGGACTGTAACGCATTTTAGGAATACGTCTCGTGCTGCGAGGGACTTTAGGCCAGTGTAGGTTGGGAGATGGTGTATTCCATCTGTTGCGATTTTTCTTTGCAGCTGCGTGGGGGAGTACGGTGGCAAAGAGGCGCCTTACGTAGTGTGGCAACTCCTCTGCCGAGATGACAGGGATCCCTCTGATTTTTAATGTGTGTGCGCCTATGTCGGTCCTCTACGTTGGCCAATTTGAGTGTCATGAGTTTCTGGTTAAGCTGGATGTGATGTACCTTGTCATCGAGGGATGTTAGATGAGTTTTGACATCCACCACGTCTGCCTCTGTGGCTTTCACATGGTCAGTAACAGCTTGTACTTCTGTTTTCAGAAGGGCCGAGTCGGCTGCTAAGAGCTTGTGCATGTTGGCTTAGACCTTATCTTTAAGCCCCCTCTCTTGTGATTGCTGTTTAACAATCATGTGTGATTTGCTAGGGTTGAGTTTAAATTGGTGAAAATGCGGGTGCTTTTTTGTTTGTGTGTGGTTTTGATCACACACCACATACTTGATGACGTAACCGGGACATCACTTGTCATTCAGGACCAGTTTTCTTTGAGGTCCCTTTTCATGTGTATAAGTGTTGCCTGTAAGTGTATGGGTAGAATAGTAAAGGTAATTTTTTTTTTTTTTATTTCATTTGTTTGGCCAAAGCATAATTAAAATTAGTTTGGGATTTCAGCTTTAGGATAGTGATGTTTTGTGGACAGCAGGAACCCTGAAACTTGGCTGTTCTTTTAAATCCTAAGCTTTTATTGCCAGTAAGATGACCACTGTCTTTAAAAATATTCCATATTTTGCGTAACCTTTTATACCTCTTTCTTTCTTACAGCACTCTCACAGCCCCATTAAGAAAGTACGGAAGTCCCTTGCTTTGGATATTATGGATGAGACAAAGCCCCTGACCATTTTATCTATGTCCACGCAAGCTCAGGTGAATAGCATTAATTCTTATATACTGTTTTGTAATCTAGTTGTTAGCCACAGACCTTTGCTAAGCTGTACCACAGTCTTGTTTTTTCCATTCAGTTTGAAGTGGCTAAGATATTGTGAAATGTAACTGTTTATGTCAAGAAGAATAAAATTGCTTAGGTACCAATTAGCATGCAGAATGTTGTGATCAGTGATATGGTTTTGCAGTTCCTACCTTATATTTGTGTGTATCTCTACTTGTATTAGCCTTTTTATGAATGGGCAATTTATAACATTTTAATTTTTATTTTTATTTTGTTCCACTTTACTACACTTTTCAGAACTGTGAGAGTTTTCTGTCAATGTCATTGAATGACTCGTCTTGTAGCAGCAAAGAAGAAAATAGCTTGCTTAATCAAGGTTTTGTGCAAGTCAAGCCTGGCAAGGGAGCCAGTTCGCAGACTGAGGATGTTTTGCAGGCACAGACTAACATTGGGGAATTGGTTGAAACCCAGGAGAATGCCTTCCTTAAAACTGACATGGCTGTGCTGCTGAGGAAGGAGCCTGACACACTTGTAAATTCAGACCCTTGCCCACATTTGGCAGTAGATACAGACTCCATTGTAAGGACATCAGTGAATACCAGTAATATTGTTCCTGCGCCGAAGACAAACACTTCTGTTGAACTAAAAACTGAGAAAGCAATACTATTTCGCACCCAAAGGCAGAAAATACCCGAGCTTGTAAGTACAAATTATTTTACATGTTTGTAAAAACTATAGCTGCAAATAATTTGTCCTGTGTTTTCTGTGAAAATACCAAATGTTTGTTTGCTTACTTTCTTGTATCCTAGCTCCCTGGTTACTTAGAGACTTGAATGTGTTTAATATTAGGTGGGGTTGTACCTTTAAAAAAAAAAAAGTGCTATACTTGAGCTTGGGCCCTGCTAGACAACAAACTTTTTTTTTTTTTTTCTGTATTGCACAATGTGACTTTGGCCCTAGCAACTGGGTCTGTGTGTTGTATTCCAAATGCTGGAACCAGAAATCTGGCACTGTAGCTACTATGAATAAAATCCATAGTGTATTAAAACTAAAGATAAATATATGTATGAAAAAAAAACAAAAGAACTAGCGTGACAGAAAGCGACCCATTGAATAGCAATAATAAAACCTAACATTTAATATCTCAAGTTAAAAAATAGAAAACCTATATTGAGCGAATGTCCAGTCAGCAAGACTGCAACCATTCTGAATAAAGTAGGCATAAAGTTTAGATATCGTGTTAGTTATAAGATACAATGTAACTGCCAAATATGTGTCTAACTGGGAAATAGAGTAAAAAAACATCTAGATACAAGGTGGCATAATTGGGAATATATTCCTAAGTACTATCGTGCCTTCGAGGGCACCCCTAAAAAAATAAATTAAAAAAATAAGAATAATAATTCTAAAGCCCCCCTTCCTGCTTGACTAATAGCGGAGGAAAGGGAAAATAATACAAGGATAATAATCGAAACAAGTGAACAGGAATAGAAAGTATGGAGTGGCAATCAGAGCTATTAAAAGTAAAGGCTGCTGCGTCATCTCAAATAAGCCGCCACCCTCCTACACAACAGTCCCAATTGTGCCACCTTGTATCTAGATGTTTTTACTCTATTTTCCAGTTAGACACATTTGGCAGTTACATTGCATCTTATAACTTTAACACGATCTCTAAACTTTATGCATATCATTATGGTTGCAGTCTTGCTGACTGCACAGTAACTCAATTGATGTTTTTAATTTTTTTAACTTGAGATATTAAATGTTAAGTACCGTATTTTTCGCTCCATAAGACGCACCTCACCATAAGACGCACCTAGTTTTTAGAGGAGGAAACCCAGAAAAAAAAATTCTGAACAAACTGTTCCATAGTGTTTCTTACCATGGGACAGTTTGTTCAGAATATTTTTTTTTAACCCCTCCTACCCTGTCCCATAGTGATTGTTAACCCCTCCTACCCTGTCCCATAGTGTTCTTTGACCCCTCCTCCCCTTGTCCATTAGTGTTCTGATCCCATAGTGTCCCCCCCTCCCATTGTCCCATAGTGCACTTTCCCTCCCATAGTGTCCCCCCTCCCCTTGTCCCATAGTGTCTCCCCCTCCCCTTGTCCCATAGTGTCCCCCCTCCCCTTGTCCCATAGTGTCCCCCCTCCCCTTGTCCCATAGTGTCCCCCCCTCCCCTTGTCCCATAGTGTCTCCCCTCCCTTTCTCCCATAGTGTCCCCCTCCCCTTGTCCCATAGTGTCTCCTCCCCTCCCCTTGTCCCATAGTGTCTCCCCCTCCCCTTGTCCCATAATTACTTTCCCATAGTGTCTCCCCTCCCCTTGTCCCATAATTACTTACCTGTCTTGGAGCGTGGGCCGGCTTCACAGCGCGCTCCGCGGTCCAGGAACTAATATTTCAGGTTCCGGTTTCCGGCGGGACTGAAAGGAAGTGTGCACACTTCCTTTCAGTCCCGCCGGAAACCGGAACCTGAAATAGAAGTTCCTGGACCGCGGAGCGCGCTGTGAAGCCGGCCCACGCTCCAAGACAGGTAAGTAATTCTTCACATTCGCTCCATAAGACGCACAGACATTTCCCCTCACTTTTGAGGGGGAAAAAAGTGCGTCTTATGGAGCGAAAAATACGGTATTTATTATTATTATTATTATTATTCTTCTTCTTCAATGGGTTGCTTTGTCACGCTAGTTCTTTTGTTTTGTTTTCTTCTACATATATTCTATCAGAGGTTACCCACCACTTCAACTAGCAACCTGACACTCTTCCCCCTATAATACTCTTTCAGAAAAGATAAATATAACACTAACTCGTATGTAGGGTGCCTTGGGAAGGGGGATTTAAATGAACTTTTAATATTGAATGAAAGTTTTATCTGCACAGAATGAAAAGTCTCTGCAGGAAAGGGCTTACATACATTCTCCCCTTCTGCAGTTTGTAGTGACCAGTACCTGAAACCTTTACATCTATAGCACCGATTGCTACAGTGTGAAATGTCTATTTTATGAAGGACACCCAGCACTTTTATTGTAGTAGATCGTTGATATAAAGGGTTGTAATAAAGCACTGGCTTCCTACAACCTACTGCTGTCACGACTTCAGTAAACATGGTTAAAGGGCTTGGTATCCGTTGGCGTTGTAGTTAGACTAATTAACAAACTTTAATTACCTGTATTCAGTTCCATAGCCTTGCAGCTTGTATAGTGTATATACTTGTCACTAAACTGACTTATTCATTTTAATTAATTGCCACATGGAAATTTGTCTTAAAGCAGCACTGTCCTGTCCGAATCCAGGTTTTTTTTTTGTTTTTGTTTTTTTGTTTTTTTAAAACCCCTCTCCCGACTCCACTACATCGAATTGTCCACCTAGTCACCCCAAATGCCCCTAAGCTCCCCCATATTACCTATTTTTGCATCTTTATTTTGTGCCCGGACCTAGGTTCTGGGCCCCGCTATCTTTGTGTGTGTAGATGAAGGCCATGTGGGACACATCATCTGCCCACACAAGATAGCGCTGTGAAATTCACGCACATGCCCTGTTAAACACTTGGGCATGCGAATGCGGTGTAAGTAGATCTTTATTAAAAAGAAATTTGGGTAGGAGGGGTGACTAGTAGCTTGTGGACCCCTAGTCAATAGGTACCTTCCCCACCCCTGTTATAGTATTTTACTGCCCCCACGCGCCGCTCAGCGGTGACGATGATAGGTTCCCCTCCCCATTGTCATTTAGGGCCCAGGGGGGTGCAATAGGTGCCCCGTTCAGTTTGAGCCCCAACTTGCATGGCTTGGCAGGGGAGATACTATTTTTTTTTTTTTTTTTAAACAGAGAGTAGCCACAGACTGCTGACTGTTTACTTGACATGCCCTTACTCACGATATATTGAATAGGGGCAGAATTTACTAATACTAAGTAATTGTGTCCTAACATGAATGAACAAACTGTTCTCATTCTGTTATGACGAAATTCGGTAATTTCACCGGCGTGCTGTCTAAATGACAGGGCGTTCGGGAATACTGACAGGAAGCATCGCGAGTTCACAGAGGAAAGGTAGGAATTGGGGGAAAATTGCATAACCACAGGAAACCATATTTAATATAAATATATATATAAAAAAATATATACTTATAAACTGTGTTTAACATATTACAACCACAAAATTATTAGGGTTAAATTGTGGTAAATTGAAAATTGGTAACTTACTTGGTGTCTGACAGGCACAAGTAATACATCCTTGAGAACCAGAAGGTCTTTTGCAAAGAGCTAAGCCTGGTGGTGTTGGGTTTGGCTTTCTGGCTGTGAGTGATCAGGTGGTATCTGATGAGCTGGCCCTGCCTTTGGCAGAGTTAAGCTCAGGAGAGGTAAGTTGATGTACCATTAGCAAACCGTTTCACTTCAAACATTGGGAAAGGCTCCAGTGCACTCATGGCACCATAACCACTTAAGTGCACTGTGATGGTCATGGTGCTTGGAGTGCAATTGTAATACATTTCACTGGTTAGCAAATTAACCCCCAAAGTATTTGTGCTCTAAAACACAAGTCATCCTATATATAGAGCACTGCAATAATGGTAAATGGTGCAACCCTGATTTGTATTTTGTTTTTTGTTTTTTCCCCTCTTCCAAATTAACTAACTTGTCTCTTTTGCTAGATGTCAAGTGCCTGGAAAACTATAGCATTTGGTGGCTCCAAGGACCAGCTGCACATGCAGGAAAAAGCGAGGGAAATATTAAACTTGTACAAACACAACTCCACCTCACGAACCCTCATTCATTCCTGATATTGATTTTGTTTTATTTTTATTTAATGGGCGGAAAACCCCGCTCAACTCCCCGAAGTACCATCTGGTCAGCACAGTGATCACCTATTATCATTTATTACATAGCCATGAACAAACCACGGATGTATACAAGGTGCAGCAGCAATCTGTCCATCATGTTGCTCTTTCTATCGGACTTTACATTGTGGATGGATGCCCAGCGCTGGCTGACTTTATTTTTTTTTTTTTTTTTTATATATATAAATAAAAACCAGCCTCGTGTCAGTGCTGCTCTTTATGTAACCTATTATGACAAGGGGAAGAGTGTCAAGCATTCTGGAGGGAAGTGTGAAACATCAATTTGTGGCTGAAAGATGGACACTGTTGACACGTAAATATCCATATTGATCGTGTTTTCTATTTTTGAAATAATGTCTGATGGAACCGTGGCTACTTGAATCAGCCAGAATGCTGTGCGCCCCCCCAGCCAGCATGGACAAACCAGCATAATGCATTAAACTGGTATCATAAATAGACAGACTTCTCCCTATCGAATGCCACCTGACCATTTTACAATTCCCTTGATTGATGTACTGAAAACATTGGATTGTACAATTTACTTTACTTTTTTTTTTGTTTATTTCCCTTTAAATATTTATATCATTTTTGTTGCTGAACTGCATAATAGTTTGTGAAAGAGTTGGCTAGTTTATGGCTCTTAAATGTGCCAATGACCTCTGTGTTTAAGGCTTGTCACTGCCGTGCCCTTTTGAATAGGACACTATGAACCATTCCTCTAAAACCAAATCACATTGGCTGCAAAATATGACATTATACAAATGTTTTTGTTTTATTTTTTAAAACATGCATTGCTACTGTAAAACATACCTACAGTAAAATTCAATTTGGCTTTTTGTCATCTATCCACTTCTCATAACTGTGTACTTTTCTGCACATTGTTAGGATGCCATTTTGTCACAATTCCTTGTCGTCCAGTTAATTTATGCTTTTGCATATGTACTTGTATAAATGTTTCACTCCTACCGAGGGAGAGTTTTTTTTTTTTTTTTTTTTCCTTCCCATTCCTTACTTAACTAACTAACCTAACTGACCAACTAACACCCTTTTCTGAATATACCACTTTTTGCTTCAATGAAACCTAGTGAATTCCCTCTGCCAAGTCTATATCTTCTTATTTTTGTTAGTGGGAGTCCAGGACATATCTGATGACCCCCACCAGCAGTTAAGACATTATGGACCTACATAAGGAAAAGTAAAGTGTTCAAGATATCTTCACGGTCTTGTGTCCATAAAATGATTACCTAAATTCTGGTAGCTGTGAAGATCCGATTTGACTACAGAGGCTCAATATGGAAAAATTTATTGGGGTGGCTCATTTCCCATGTTCTTTTCCACGTAGTATCAGTATAGTGGGATGTCTGTCTAGTAGTAAAAATTCTGGGGTGAATTGATTTTGAAGGAAACTGCCTCCTAAGGTGGTTCTGGTGTGCTTAAGCTAAAGGAGTTACTGCTACCAAAAAGTGTTTTCGCAAAACAGGTTAAACCTGCCTCTTGTTGTGTTCTCCTTTAGCCTGATCCTCCACGGCTGGGGTTACACCTCTAGCAGCAACGGGGTTAATCTCTTTATGTGCATTGTTGCATAGTGGAAAACTGCACATACAGAAAAAATGACCACTTTAAATAAATTAAATTGTAGTGGTGCTTAGAGTAGCCCTGTAAACCTTTTGATTACCTATAACAAGGGTAGGCAATCTTTTGCCCTCCAGAGGTCGTGGACCTAATCTCTCAATACTGGCAAAGCACCGGGCGATATGTAGTCTACAACATCTGGAATGACAAAGGTTTCTTACCTCTGGCCTATATAGGCAGGGCATAAAGTGGTATTACTTGCCTTGTTAATCAAAGGATTGATATTGTACATGTGGTATTGCGAAACCTGGGATAGAAATGACTTAAAATAGCTATATAAACAGTAACATGAACAATTCAAATACTATATTAAGGTGTTTGTAAATTGTAAAACACTGTTGGATATTTCATACAGTTCTGCGTAAATGGACACTATATAGTCATCAGAACAACTACAGCTTAATGTAGTTGTTCTGGTGAGTACAGTCTGGACGTGAAGACTTTTTGCAGTTAACAATGCAGTGTTTACATTACAGCCTAGGAAAACCTCCAGTGGCTTCTCAGAGGGTCACTGGAGGAGTTTCCTGGGTCAGTGCTGTACGGTGTGAAGTTTCCCAAAGAGATGCATTGATTCAATGCATCTCTTTGAGTAGATGCTCATTGGCCAGGGAGCTGTTTCGCTTTGCCCCCTGGCCTGCAACTTTGGCTGAGGAAAACAGAATTAATCATCTCAGCCAATCACAATGCTTTCATCAGCAATTATCTCAGCCAATGGAAAGCATTGTGATTGGCTGAGATCATAATTGCTGATGTCAGCCAAGGAGGTGGCGCCCTCGTTATAAAAAGGTGTTCTACTAGCATTAAGGGTTGGGGGGGCGGCGGCTTAATTGTTTAACAGTCTAGGGTCTGGAATACATGTTTGTGTTCCTGACCCTATAGTGTTCCTGACCCTATAGTGTTCCTTTCAATATCAAAGTCGGTGTTCCTTGTTAACACAGATCTAGTTTAAAGATGACTTTGTGGCAGAGTGAAAGTACTAAACGCAAGCAAATATAAAGAATCTGAGTTGCAATAATATAGAAACATTTTCTCAGTTGCATATCTACAAATTATGAAGGTTCTATAATTTAAATGTTTGATTCCTCTGAGAACAATTGAATCTTAGGATGACTTACATTTGGCATAAGATCATCTCCTTTAGATATGCACAAAAAAAAATATGTAATTAGGATACAAATATATAGATTGAAAATAGAATCTTTTATGACTGGAGTTTTCACTTTGTAAAGATACCAGTGCCACCTAGAGGTAGCAACCTGTAACTTGCTTTGCTGCTTGGATAATAAAATATATATGTTGGAGGTTTTATCAGTGAGAATAAGGGTAACTGTTAACTGGACGCTTACATTGATGTAATTAAAATCTCCAATACACTATATAGATCTATGCAAATATAATTTAAATTATAGAATCTTCTCAATGGGTTTAGGCAGAGAATAGTCTGCATTCATACCTTGACAAGTGCAGGTTTTTATCTGTATATTACAATAAAATGATTAAGTAAAACATAATCATGGTCTGCTGTACTATGAAGTGATTGTGGATAAACATTTAAACTCTGCTAGTAAGGTAAATAAACTTTACAGCTGCTATACGATATGCTTAGAACACCCCAAAAAAAACAAAACATAATAGGTCCTGGATTTTCTAAAGGTTACGGCTACTTCTTGGTCTACAGCACTCCTGGTGAGAATTCACAGTAATTTCTAATCCTGAATCAATATACACTAAACAAAATTATAAACGCAACACTTGTTTTTTGCCCCTTTCCTGAGCTGAACTATGTACACAAAAGGCCTATTTCTCAAATCTGTGTTAGTGAGCACCGGTCCTTTGCTGAGATAATCCATCTACCTCACAGGTGTGGCATATCAAGATGCTTATTAGACAGCATGATCATTGCACAGGTGTGCTTTAGGCTGGCCACAATAAAAGGCCACTCTAAAATGTGCAGTGTTATCACACAGCACAATGCCACAGATGTTGCAAGTTTTGAGGGAGCGTGCATTTGGCATGCTGACTGCAGGAATGTCCAACAGCGCTGTTGCCCGTGAATTGAATGTTCATTTCTCTACCATAAGCAGTCTTTAAAGGCATTTCAGAGAATTTGGCAGTACATCCAACTGGCCTCTCAACCGCAGACCACGTGTAATCACACCAGCCCAGGACCTCCACATCCAGCATCTTCACCTCCAAGATTGTCTGAGACCAGCCACCCGGACAGCTGCTGCAACAACAATCGGTTTGCATTAGGGATCGGCCGATATTGATTATTTTTAGAGCCGATAATCTGTGAACTTTCAGGCCGATAGCCAATAACTTACCGATATTCTGTACATTTACCATTTAAAAAAAAAAAAACTTTCTACACAAATCTGTTAACTGAACATGTTTATTATGTATTTTTTTGCCCTTTTTATTTTAAGGTAAATGCACAAAATATAAATGTCAGTGTGTGTATATATAATGAATGCAGAGTGAGCGTTTGTGTAGTGTGTGTTTTGTGTAGGTATGTAGTATGTAAAGGGGGGGGGCATATTTATTTTTAACTTTAAAAAAAAAAAAAATTAAATAGTTTTTTTAGTTCTCCCTACCTGCTTCTTACTTGGTCAGGGAGGGGGGGGGATATGGCATTCCCTGGTGGTCGGTGGCATGGATTGTGCAGTGAGGCCCAGCTGGGAAGGTAAGTAAGAGCTTCCTGGGCCCCCAGGACCTGATCGGCAATATCAGTATCTTTATTGGCCGATACCGATCTTGCCGAAAATACAGAATATCGGCCAGACCGATAATCTGTCAATCCCTAGTTTGCATAACCAATGAATTTCTGCACAAACTTTCAGAAACCATCTCAGGGAAGCTCATCTGCATGCTCGTCGTCTTCATTGGGGTCTCGACCTGACTGCAGTTCGTCACCATAACCAACTTGAGTGGGCAAATGCTCACATTCGATGGCATCTGGCACTTTGGAGAGGTGTTCTCTTCAGTGATGAATCCTGGCAGACAGCGTGTATGGCGTTGTATTGGTGAGCAGTTTGCTGATGTCAACGTTGTGGATCGAGTGGCCCATGGTGGCGGTGGGGTTATGTTATGGACAACGAACACAGGCGCATTTTATTGATAGCATTTTGAATGCATAGTGATACCTTGACAAGATTCTGAGGCCCAGTGTTGTGCCATTCATCCACCACCATCACCTCATGTTGCAGCATGATAATGCACGGCCCGACGTTGCAAGGATCTGTACACCATTCTTGGAAGCAAACATCCCAGTTCTTGCATGACCAGCATACTCACAGGACATGTCACCCATTGAGCATGTTTAGGATGCTCTGGATCGGCGTATATGACAGTGTTCCAGGTCCTGCCAATATCCAGCAACTTCGCACAGTCATTGAAGAGGAGTGGACCAACATTCCACAGACAACAAACAAGAACCTGATCAACTCTATGCGAATGGGTATGTGTTGCACTGCGTGAGGCAAATAGTGGTCACACCAGATACTGACTGGTTTTCAGTCCGTCCCCGACCTCCCCAATACAATAAAACTGCACATTTTAGAGTGGCCTTTTATTGTGGCCAGTCTAAGGCACACCTGTGCAATAATCATGCTGTCTAATCAGCATCTTGATATGCCACACTTGTAAAGTGGATGGATTATTTCTAAAAAGAAGTGCTCACTAACACAGGTTTAAACAGATTTGTGAACAATATTTGAGAGAAATCGGCCCTTTGTGTACATAGAAAAAGTCTTGGATCTTTTAGTTCATCTCATGAAAAATGAGGGGGGGAGGGCAGTGTTGCATTTATAATTTTGTTCAGTGTATATATTGTAATGCATTGCAAATAGGCTCTGCTCCGACCTGGAGTGTCCTATAATATCATAAGGTGGATCTATATGTTTATGCAGCACTTGCCCTCCATGGGGAAAGATTTATTTATAGTGTAGATAGTACAATGTTTCTGTTTTACAAGTTCTCGTTTTCTGTTAATTTTATTATTAATCTAGAGACTCTGCTCAGACTAACAGCAGGAGCTAAAGAAATGTATATTAAACATACAAAAATGTAAAAAAAAAAATTACGCCCCCACCCCCTTTTCTTCTCTTCATATGCTTAGTTTTTCAGTGTAATTGGACATTATACTTTAGAACCACCAGCTAAAAAAGAGGATAATAACGTTAATACGTACCTGGAATAGAGTGCATGGTGCCACTCTCCTAGACTTTTTGTAATGTTAATGCAGCTGTGCAAGGTTTGATCACAGGCTTCTCAGAGCTAGCTTCCCCTTGCAGGCGCTCTGCTCGCAAGGGAGAAGATTATTATGTCTGTTGAAAACACCCTGTGCGTGCTGACGACAGACTATGTCTATATGCACATACTCCTACTACCCTGACTACTTCAAATTACTCCAAAAAGGTATATAATCGAGCAGGAAGCCTGAAGAAGCATAAGCTTATATATCAGAACTACAAAGTTCTTTCGGTGCTCAGCGTCCCTTCAGTAGGATGGTGCTAATCTGCAACAGCCTACTTCTATCAGAATAGGGTGGAGATTAGTAATGACAAAGGTAAATGCCTTTGTCTAGGTTGTCAATACTTACAGGGTAAGTCCAAACATCCATTATACTTTGTTTTACTAAGTGAGATCAGGATGTGTAATTGAACAAGTTCAAACCCCTTCCATTTTTTTTTTGTCAATTAGAGACCCCCACCACTGCTAATGGGTAGGGGACCGGAGGACTCCCCCACCCCCCCGTTTTGTCACTCAGGGCCCTTGCTCACGGCTAATGGGTGAGGGCGATAGGAGACAATGAGCCCCCACCCATTGCTAATGTATGGGGGTCAGGGGGGCACATTAGGTCCCCAGTTTAGTTTAATAGCCCCCAGCATAGCGTGTAGGGGCAGGAGTAAAATTGTAATCTCCCTTATTTAATAATACTAAGTAATTTTTACTTAGTAATGTTTTAGTAGGTAGCTCCCGAATTGCCACAATATTAGGGAGATATCAACTAATGCAGTGTGGGTTGGATCGGCATTTAAGTCTAATGAAATGTAAAAAAAAAAAAAGGCCCAAATATCGTTCTAACACAAATGGACAAACTGTCCACATTCTGTTAGGATGAAAAAATTCGGTAAATTCGTCGTCATGGAAGTCCGGGAATAGTGAAAGGAGGTATCGTGAGAACACGGAGGAGAGTAAGTATGATGGGAAAATGTTTTGACCACAGGAAATGGAGTTGACTTAAAGGACCACTATAGTGCCAGGAAACTTGTTTTCCTGGCACTATACTGTCTTTAAGTCCCCCTCACCCTCATGGCCCCCCTCCCGCCGGGCTGAAGGGGTTAAACACTTACCTTTCTCCAGCGCTGGGCTACCTCGGCTCTGGGGAACTCTCCTTCCTCACCCGACGTCAGCACTGCATGCGCGGCAAGAGCCGCCGGCACATTCAATTAGTCCATAGGAAAGCATTTCTCAATGCTTTCCTATGGACGTCAGCATCTTGGAAGCGCGAAAGTGGCTGTCAATGAGACAGTCACTAGAGGCTGGATTAACCCTGTTGTAAACATAGCAGTTTCTATGAAACTGCTATGTTTACAGCTGTAGGGTTAACCCTAGATGGACGTGGCACCCAGACCACTTCATTAAGCTGAAGTGGTCTGGGTGCCTATAAGCTTCTCCATTAGTTAAAGAAGGTCGGTCAAGCATACAAAAAAAATAGTCCCTACTTTGTCTCATGTTTTAAATAAATCTAGTTCAGAAAAGAACAGATTCTGAGAGAGGCATGAGAAGAGGAAACAATAGGAGAAAGGTAAGTTTGGCGTGACAGTGCCACTTTAAATCTTTAAAATCAACAGTCTAGAACTATTGGAACAAATAAGTGTCTACATGTTTAAATTTCTAGATATTTTTAATTAAGCAGTGAGTTGCATTAAGAGGACATCAGAGCTTGACAATTTTAAACTTCATTTGGCAAATTCCTTGCTTATTTACCAGAAGTCACTGTTTAGTGATTAAATAACATTACATCCAATTTTCTGTAAAAAGGGACCCTCCAGGCACCCAGACCACTTCTGCCCATTGGAGTGGTCTGGGTGCCAACTCCCACTACCCTTAACCCTGCAAGTGTAATTATTGCATTTTAAAAAAATAAAACTGCAATAATTACCTTGCAGGGTTAACTCCGCCTCTAGTGGCTGTCTACTAGACAGCCACTAGAGGGCACTTCCATGTCTATAGCACAGGCTATCTGTGCTAGAGCGTCGCTGGACGTCCTCACGCTGTGTGAGGACCTCCAGCGTTGCTCTATTTCCCATAGGAAAGCATTGAAAAGTATTTTCAATGCTTTCTTATGGAGAGGTCTAATGCGCGTGCGTGGCATTGCCGCGCATGCGCATTAGGTCTCCCGGGCCGGCGAGCGGGATCAGTCTCGCCCATCAGCTGACATAAGGAAGGTGAGGAGCGGC